GGCTGGCGCAAACTGACATTGTGCAGCATACAAAATCTCACACGTACCATGGTGCTGCGCGAGGACCAGGAAAAAGCTACATACACGCAAAAGGTTGATTTTGCAAAGCTGCGCTCCGAACTCATGACGGCCGACTCGACCGAATCCAGTCTTACACGGGCATCACACGAGAGGCTCACCAACGAACTTGCAAAGCTGAACTCGCGACTACGGGACGAGATACAGAGGACTCAGGCGTCGGTCAGGCTGGACTTGAATCTGGAGAAGGGGCGGATTCGCGAGGAGGCCAATGTGCAGGAGCTCAAGCTTAAGGAGACGGACACGAGGATCGAGCAGGAAACTGCCCAGCTCCGGGAGCGGCTAGAAGCCGTCAAGTTCTCGACTCTGCAGTGGCTGATGGGAGTGTGTACGGGTACGGCGGCGCTGATGCTGGGAGTGTGGCGATTGTTGATGTGATAGCAACAACGTTTTGGTGGGCGATGTGATTGAATGGTTGATTGGACAGATAGATATGATACATGGATGGACAAAAGGTCGGTCAGCAGTCTGGGTCAGACACGAATCGCTCCGGGAGGGCTACAGGAGGTCAAAGGGCACGAACATGTCCCTGCGCAGCAGAGACCCGTGCAAGTACTAGAGGGTGTCGGTCAATGCTGGTGGCTGCTAGGCGTGTACACGGGCGAAAGGCTCTGGTAGCGGGCCGCGACGGCATATTATACCGCGCGGACCAGCCAGGGCCCGGGTTGTGGGAAGGGGATTGTGGAATGCATATGTGGCATGCGGCAAAGACGGTGTCAGCACACAAGTTTTTTAATGCACAAGTGGTTGCAAGGAATTCAGGCAAAATGTGCATGCCGTGTGTGTGTATGTACTTGTTTTTTTCTCTCTTGTGAGTTGGCAGAGTGGAGGGCATGACGACTGCTTTCTCCGGTCAAGATGCAGCGTGTAAATGTGCATGTATGGATAGTACATATACATATGTACTTACATAGTTAGTAGGTGGAGGAGGTGGTGGTGGTGGTATGTAAGCACCGGAGGCGGATGTACGTACACCAGCTGGGTAGCCTCTGCCCACAGCGCGACACACGAATCATGGGGGCAACCAGAGCAGCTCCACGCAAGAGGAGCCGTCCAAGTTTTCTAGCTGTTTCCAAGGTGCACTGATTGGCCCCCACTTGAACATGGGACGGCAGCGCAGGAGTCAGCCTCTCCCTCTCTCTCCTTCGCTGGCCGCCGCCCTCCCACGCCCGCCTCGTGTGACTTTGTGGGCGGCAACGACTACAGGCCGACGGCTGGACAGCACGCAACACCTGCCAGCGCCGCCACGGGGGGTTGGGAGATTGGGCAGGGCTATGGGCGCTGGCAGTGGATGCTCTCTTTTAGGGGGGGATGGATGGATGAGTGGACGGATGGGTGGGTGGATAGACCCTGAATGCTCACGTGCCCCCCCATGTACCCCTCATTGCCAGCTCCTTGAGTTGTCGCGCACAGCCTCAGCGGTGGTAGTAGCAGAGGCAGCAGCAGCACGTAGATACCAAGGAAATAGGGGAACGACATGGCAAAAGGGGCGTGTGGGAGTGCACATGTGTGGATATGTACGTACAGGACGTCGGCCTAGCAGGTACACCGCATGCCAACGGCGCGAACGGGGCAGGCGGGCATGTGAATAGACTCGTCCCAGGCGCCCATTGGGGGAAGGCGCTGGCGACGGGGTGGTGTTGTTCGTTTTACGCACGGCCCCCCGGGACGCTCTTAGGGCAGACGCTCGCTTCCTCAAAACAACTTCGATCCTCTTCTGTTCATTGATCCACACAAACACCTCAACAACTCCATCCACCGTCTATCCTTCCGTAGCCCATCTGCACCCCACCCCACACTCAACCACCACAACCACCCCATCCACTCCCTCCAGCTACTCCTTCACAATGGCGACTGAGGTATGTGAAGCCCCCATTCCCATCCTCTCCCACCTTCCCCCCCCGCTGTTGTCCGCCGCGGGATGCCCCTCTGGCTCCCCGATAGACCACACGCATACGTACACACACATGTATACATGCAACACCGGCTAACAAGACTCTTGCAAATAGCGTGAGAGGTACGATAGGCTTGCCCGCCACGGCTCCCTGCAGTAATTGACGTCGCAACAGCAAGACTTTCCTCGCCCGGCTGTGCGAACAGGCTGAGCGCTACGATGGTAAGTCCTGCGCGCCCTCAGCTGAGTCCCGCGCAATGTGCTGACGACGCCTGTTTGCAGAGATGGTTACGTACATGAAGGTCAGTCAATACGCCAGTCACTCTTGCTCAACCCCCCTCGCATGCTAACTATCGCGCAGGAAGTCGCTAAGGTATGCCCGACCGCATCCGCCTGCATATGGCTGAGCAGGCTCCAGCAGCCACCTGCCAGCTGCAAGCTCCCCTTTTAACCTGTACTAACCCGCCGCATAGGTCGCCGGTGAACTCACCGTTGACGAGCGCAACCTTCTGTCCGTCGCCTACAAGAACGTCGTTGGTACCCGACGCGCGTCATGGCGCATCATCTCCTCAATCGAGCAAAAGGAAGAGTCCAAGGGCACCGAGAAGCACGTTGGCACCATCCGTGACTACCGCCAGAAGATCGAGACCGAGCTCGAGCAGGTTTGCCAGGATGTCCTAAACGTCCTCGACGACTCCCTCATCCCCAAGGCCGAGTCCGGCGAGTCCAAGGTCTTCTACCACAAGATGTTAGTGCAAAAACCCCACCACACACACACATACACCGAAAACTAGGCTAACAACGGGACAGGAAGGGAGACTACCACCGTTACCTTGCTGAATTTGCTTCCGGTGAGAAGCGCAAGGTTGCCGCCACTGCTGCACACGAGGCCTACAAGGTATGACGCAATCATTGCATCTCGCTAAAAACCAGGAGATTGCTAACTATGCTCTAGACGGCCACCGATGTTGCCCAGACTGAGCTCACACCCACGCACCCCATCCGTCTCGGACTTGCCCTGAACTTCTCGGTCTTCTACTACGAGATCCTGAACTCGCCCGACCGTGCTTGCCACCTTGCCAAGCAGGCTTTCGACGACGCCATTGCCGAGCTCGACTCGCTCTCTGAGGAGTCTTACCGCGACAGCACCCTCATTATGCAGCTCCTCCGTGACAACCTCACTCTCTGGACGTCATCAGACGGCAACGAGGGCGAGGGTGCCGCTGCCGACGCGCCTAAGGACGAGGCCAAGCCCGCCGAGGACGCAGCAGCTGCAACTGAGGCCAAGCCTGAGGAGACACCTGCTGCCGCCGCTTAAGCGCACTCTTCCTGCTTCGACCTTGTGTATCCTCAGCCGTCGTCATCTGTTTTCGAATAGACGAAGGAGGCCGGTAGCGAGCGTCCTACGGAGTTGTACGTGTTCTGTGTGATTTCAAAAATTGGCTTTGGCAGCAAGCGGTTCGGTACGGTCGAATTCCCCCATGACTGAAATGTATTTCCCTTTAAATATCCTGTATCGCCAGCGCTATCCTATCGAGCACGCAGTGTGCTGACATCTTGTGTCATAACAACGATTGCAGCACTTCTGATGCCCTCTTCTGCGAGGGCTTGGGCTGCTATCGGCGAGAAAAGGCTGCGCTCGGTTCCTCGGATGCGACCCTCAATTCCCCCCCATGTTTTCGTTTTGGCAGCCTATGAACAGCTCGATCCTATGGTGGATAGAGATGTTTGACGTCTTTTTGGTGGACTCGGAGTCAGGACATCTTCTTCGATGGCCGACAGAGCAGTACGCAACGCTCTGGTGGGCTTGATGTCATGATACTGCACTCTTAGCTAGCCAAAGAAGCCGTTACTTCAAGACTTTTTGCAATGCTCAGTCGTGATGTTTGACTTTCTCACCTTGGACGGTTTTTGTAAGCCTGGGTCAGAACATGTGATTTGTGTTGCATAACTATACTTACATTGTCGATCTTGGGGAGGGGCTGTTGAACGGTCCTTTTCCAAGGTTGCCATGCACCTGCACCCGATGCTGTGGAACGGCGCGCCCCACCACTAGTAGTACCGAGCAAGCGAACAAAGTACCCCCGCCCAACTTTTCTGTCCCAGTCTTGTCGCGTCACACATGGCAAACGCAGCACTGAGAAAGGCCCCTCGAGGGCAGCGCAGTCTACCATTAAACACTCACACCCATTGTGGTCACGCAGCATGGCCTACACAAAAGATTACTACCATATCCTGAGCCTCGACGCACCAGGCTGGCGCCAGTCCACAAACCAAGCCAACAAGACCACAGCAGCAGCAGCAGCAGACCTGCGACGAGCATACAAAGTAGCGCTACTCGCAGCGCATCCAGACAAGAAGAAACAAGATGGCATCCCTACCACTACGACTACAAAGACGAAGAAGCCTGCATACACGGTCGACGACGTAAAAGAAGCATACACGATACTTGCGGATCCCAAGACACGAGCCGAATACGATACTTGGTTCCTTCATAATCGGCATACGCTGCCTTCTGATTCTTCTTCTTCTTCTTCGGTATCCTCGACGCGGGAGCAGGCACAGGCTATTAGTCAGGATTTCATACTCGGTCTTGAACTTGTTGATTTGAGCGATTTCGAGGAGGTCGAGCTGAGAACAACGACCATGTCTACGAGTGAAGAGGATGACGGGGTAGAGTGGACGAGGGGGTGTCGGTGTGGGGATGAAAAAGGGTTTAGGATTGTAGAAGAAGAATTGGAGGATGCGCAGCTGAGGGGGGAGAATGAGGTGCTGGTGGGTTGTCGGGGTTGTAGTTTGTGGCTGAGGGTTGGGTTTGAGGTTGAGGAGGGGTGAAAAAGGCAGCCGTGTAGGGTAGTAGTAGTAGTAGTAGTAGTAGTGAGAGAGATATGGATACAAAAGAGGCGGGGGGAAAGGGGGGAGTTGGAGAAAAAAGATGTGAGTAGTGGTGGAAAATCGAGTTTGTGGTATATTTGGTTAAAAAAACATAGAGCTAACAACACCACCAGTCACCTCTGGTCTAGCCTAATGTTACCTGTTAGAGTCTGTTGGTTGTCACAAGGGATGGGAAAACCTTACCACCATAACCACCACCCGCGTGTTGTTTACCCAGCAGGCTGAGAAAACTTTACTACCACGACTACCATCTGCGTGTCGCTTGGCCCGCTCGGCTGCATCTTGGTCAAGCTTCTCGTTGAATTGGCTGTCCGAGATACTTTCATAGGGGTCGCGGATAAGGGATTCGCGGTGAGTGCGGAGTATTAGAAGAGTCTGCAGCACCAGGCTATCGGTCTTGATTGAGAACGTTGTACCTCATGTTCGGGTAGTTGCTTGTGACGATCATATACTGGCTTTTGCATATGAAACGACGCCATGGACTTTTGTATCCGAGTTGNCAAACGCTGAATGTCAACTCGAGGGCGCTTGCTGATCACTTCCTCCATATCTTGTAGCGATTCTCGCTTTGTATGAAGAATGGAGAAGAGATGTGGAAATAGCTTCGTGTTCTGTAAAACGACGTTTTGAACGCCACCAGCTGAGGCTCAGTACCCCAGAGATCTAGTTTCACTGTTGGTTTTGATTGAGCGTGGTATGTCAGGTTCGAGTGGCTGCTTATGATGATTGCTAATTTACAAAAAGTCCCATAAACACCCCCCCCCCACAAATATCACCCCTCTTGTTAGCCTAGGTGTGCATGCCACAACTAGTTTCCAGGAGCCACCGCACGTCAACCAGTGTGAACTGATGACGTGACTCGGGGAGGTAAGAGTAGGGTTTTTGGCTCCCGTTTTTTTTTCGGGGAAACAGCCGAAGCTAAAAAACCCCGCGCGAGACAAAACATGTACACAGTCAGCAAAACAACCCCCAAGGACCTACTTCATATGCTACGTCGACGGGATCTCTGAAGTGTCGGAACCCCTCGCATGTGCCGCAGACTTGACTCCTTTTCCTCTTCACCGCCGACTTGGCAGAAATCGCTCGATAACTTTGTGGCCATGGGCCCGGGTTGAGGCAAAGTCGTCAACGTTATCTTGCTCGCGCAGTCGGGGCGTTGGTAGAGGTCCGCATTTGAGCTCGGGGGAGAAGGAAGGCCCAAATCTCGACGTTTCGCTTGCTTATGCGGAGGGGCTCCTATGTGTTCCGTTGAGCATATGAGGAGAGTTTGAGGTTTCTGATAAAAGATGCTTGGATTAGATATATCGTTTATTCAAACGAACCATCTACGCTGTCTTCCGAATCGGTTTCCCGAGAAATTTGGCTTGGACGATGATTTTCCGGAGGCTCGACGTTCTGGAGCCAGGTTTCCACGTTATTGCAAGTTGTAACGCCTGGTCCGTTCTTGTTGTCGTCATCGTCGTCGCCAAAATCCTCCTCCGTCCACTCAGCCGCTCCGGACATGGCGAGCACACGTTGAAGGTGCCATTGCAATGTCAAGAGGCCTGAATCTGGGAGGGGTCGCTTGACTGGGTCATCGGTCGACATTGTAAATTTGGTTCCGCTTTTTAATGGTTCGCGGGCAGTATCATTGTCGGGATCAATCCGATCGAGGGGGCCGTAGCCCTTGCCAGCTGAACGCCGGCCGGCCGAAGACAAAGGTTCATCCATAATGTCCACCTCTTCATGGCGACTGCGCTCTTCAACAACAAGCCAATGAAACTCGATTTCGAGATTTTTCTTGTCGTCTGACAGTTGTATCGGTCGGAGCGCAAATCGGGCAGCCGAGTGAAATCGGTGCAGGGTGGCCGAGAGGGAGATCATGTTCTCCACTGTCTCCGTCCCTCGATTCGGATTGTTAGCATCCACAAACAACTTACTACGCCAACTTTCCACCAATTCTTCTTTCCAAAACATCTTCAGAGTATCCCAAAAATTCACCACTCGCTCCTCATTCTGGCCTCCAAAACCGCTCCATGGGTAAATGTGAGCGGCGTCAATTTCCGCTAGCCTCGTGACCGCGCAAAGGTTTCCATCCCGTTTCTTACAGTTGGACCGAACGCCCTCGTGTCGACCAACACTGTATTCTTGGCCGCCAATTACATTTCCAGATCGAGTTCGCTTGGATCCGGCTAGTATGTTGGTATTGAGAAGGCGGGATGTCGAGGTTGGTTGGTTGGAGACAGTTTTGGATTGCGAGTGTATTGGCGTTGCACTTGCTGCTGTCGGGGTTTTCTCTGGTTGTTTCTGGGACCAGAGCCGAATCGTGTCCAAAGCTTTTTTTTCTGTTGCCAAGCGATGTTCGTCTTCCGCGAAGCATCGCCATGCCAAACGGCTCTGAACCACTTCCCGAATTACTTCGATATCGGCGATTTGGAGAAACGCCCAGGTAATCGAAGGCAACTTCGTTTGGCGGTGGAGTGATTTGAGATTTTGAAAAAGTTGCCGGCGCTCAGCGGAGCGCTCTGTGAAGCCTTGGCCATCCTCCTCTGGCCTCACGTTGGTCCAACCTTGGCGAACAGTATCCATGGTGTTGTTTGCTTATTGGTACCTGTTTTGGGTGATCGCACAGCTTTTATAATAATGTTAGAAATAGAGGGGTAAAACTTACAAGCTGTGGTGGATGAAGAAGAAATGTAAGGTCGAGGTGAGTTGTGTTCTTTATATACTAGATAGCTGTGTACACAACCATGGTTCAAGAAGAACCTGGAAGAAACCATGGCGAATACGAAAGGAGCTTTCGGAACAGAACGAAGAAGTGGCCACTATCGTACCGCGGTTCAAGAAAGAGCCTGTGAGACAAAATGACTATTACGAAAAGAACTATTGGCGGCCGGTCAGACCAAGTAATGTGTCGTATTGACCCCAAATTCTACGCGCCAAAGCCCACGCTACTCGTCTGCTCTTGTACAAAGCATGGCCCTTGTTGGCTGTCTACAGGCTCGTAGGCTAGGCTGGTCTTTTGTTATAATGCTCCTCTACATCAAGTCAGCACCGACCAAAGCTAGCTCCAGCGCAGTGTCGTACAAACTCGAAGCAACCATGTGCAGACGAAATATTGTCAAAATGCCCTCCCGCTGGGGTGTCTGTTTCATTGCTCGTGGGTATCATATCCTTTTATAGGCACCGTGTCGTCCTTTTAGTCCGAGTCCTCGTCGCTCACGTCCATCTCCATTTCGGCATCCGAGTTCTCTTCCTCTTCCTCATCCTCCCTTGCCCGCTTCTGGCCCTTGGCCGCATCTTGTGCGTTGACTGGTACTGCCTTTTCCGGTGCAGTACCAAAGCCTGATGTCTGTGCATGCGCCTCCTGGTCGTCCTCTGCGCGTTCTGGCTCGGGCATCTTGTAGGTTCCGTCGAGCTTGGCCACGGTATCTGACTTTGTCTTTGCGTATGCAATTTGCTGAGCTGCATCAGCTGCTGCACTTTTTAGGGAGGTTCGCAGCAGACGTACCATGTCTTTTCCGAAAAATGTGAAGCCCTGCAGAGCGCGCATCGCTTGTGTCGAAGAGTCGACGTCGCGGAAGACGACATGAGCCTGGCCGCGCATCTTCATGGTCTTGAGGGCGACAATGTCGAGAATAACTCCATATGTGGCGAAGAGCATGTACAGACTCCGCTTGAGGTCGTTCTTCTGGAGCTTGTCGGGCAGATTACGCACATAGAGGCTGGATGAGCGTGAGTGAGTGTGTAGATACAAAAATACAGTGGGTGGCTTACGTTCTGTTTGGAATACCCTCGCTGGCGACGGTGCCTGGAGGTCCTCGGGCAGAAGTAGCCATGGTGCGTACAATGGCTGCTGCTGCGACGTGCAGCGGTGGTGAGGTCGAGCTCCCCGCTGAAAACCGCGGCCAAGACTAAAAGTTCGGGGACGTGCCTTGCCCTGCCATGCTATGCCATACCTTGCCTGGTACCTGCGCCCGTGGAGACTAGAGAACCATGCACGCTCTTTATCTGTTCACTATCTTGGTCCATTTACTGCAAGAGGAGGACAGCAAGAAGAAGGAGAACAAAGGCATGGAGATGGTGGCAGACTCGCCTCTCTCATGATACCGGTTGGGGCCCTTTGCTAACACCCGACCCTCTACCACGTCTTCTTGACGACTCTCCACCTACATCCATACACGCACTCTCCTCCGGCCCAATCGCGACCCTCTCGCAAGCACACCATGGCATCGCCCGTCGTCCTCAGCCCACGGCCTAATCCGCCTGGCGCGGTCATGTTTACCGCGAGCAAGACGAGGACCCTCGCCCTCCCAAGCCACACCACCAAGCCCGTCAAGTCGCCAGCGCCACCCGCGCCCGCCACGATAGCCGGCGATGGCGGCATGGACCTTGCAGAGCAGATGAACGACCGGGTACGGAGCCAGTTCGTCATGGGTCCACGACTAGGAGAGGGTACCTACGCCGTTGTATACCAAGCGCACTACCGCGACAACCCCAAGCACATTGTCGCCATCAAGAAGATCAAATACAACGCCGAGTACCCCAACGGCATCGCCCCCGACGCCATCCGCGAAATGCAATTCCTCTTCGAAATGTCACACCCCAACGTCATCAAACTCCACAACGTCTTCTCCACCAAAGAACAAAACCTATCCCTAGTCCTCGAGCACCTTCCCCTCGGCGACCTCGAGAAGCTCTGGAAGAACAAAGAAATTACATACACAAAAGCAGACATCAAGGCCTGGATGAATATGCTCTGCCAGGGAATATGGTTCTGCCATGAGAACTTCGTCCTCCACCGCGATATCAAAGGCAGCAACGCCCTCATCGCCGCAGACGGCACCATCAAAATCGCCGATTTCGGTCTCGCACGCAGCTTCGCGGATCCAGGCGTCAAAATGACCACCATGGTCATAACGCGCATGTACCGGCCCCTCGAGCTGCTCTACGGCTGCTCGCACTACGGCGGAACAGCAGACATGTGGAGCATAGGCGTTCTCATGGCCGAACTCTGCAAGCGCGACTGGTTTCTATATTCCGACACGGACATGCGCCAGGTCGCTGTCATCTGCGAGAAATTCGGGACCCCGACGGAAGAGACGTGGCCGGGCGTTACGTCTTTGCCTTACTACGTCGCCCCCGATAAACAGACGGGACCGCAGGGTGCTACTGCGTTCAGACAGACCCGCCCGCGTAGCTGGTGGAAGCAAGAGTTCCCCACCCTCGGAGATGATGGGTGCGATTTCATCAGGGGCTTGTTGACGCTGGATCCGCAAAAGAGGTATACAGCAAGGAAGGCGCTCGAGGATAAGTGGTGGACTAATGCGCCGCGTCCGACTAAGAAGGAGAATTTGCCAAAGGAAGGTGGGGGTACCAAGGCTATGGGTGAGGATTTGAAGCGGAGAGGGGGAGAAACGCCTGCGAATGGTCGTGCTGATAAGGTGGCCAGGAAGCTGGATTTCGGGTCCATGGGCTGAAATCCTGCAAAACCCTGTCTCTCACTCTCTCTTTTCTCCCATACATGCTTTCCAGTCCAAGATCCCTCTCTTCCAGTCAATGTTTTCATGGCGTCCATGGCGATATTGCATCTGTCGCTTTTTTTTAAAGCACTCATCCAACAATAGCTTAGATAATTTATGCTGTATTCGTCTGCTCTCTTGGCATCTCGAATCAGATTCCATTTCAAATCGGGACATCAGTTCCCTTCCACCGACCTCTTACATAATGAAATCTGAATGTGCACTCGAGGTTCGACTTTGTCTACTCTCCAAACATGTGCATTTCTTCCCCCCACGCTGTTCAATGACAACCAGAAATTACTCAGACAAAAACTTGAACTTTTCCAAACAAATTCACTGTCAATCACCATTTACAAAGTTCGTTGTATCACATGCATCGAATCATTGTACACTTTCAATCGTAAATGGCATCCATGCGCCTTGCTTTTGTATTCATCTAATCGTCTTCATTCTTATCGTCACATATTCCATATTCCATATTCCATATCCCTTGTTTACTTGACCAGCTTGCATACAAGGTCGCCAGAGTCGACAGAGTCACCCTCGCGTACGGACAGTCCACTAACCTTTCCAGAGTGTGGTGCTGAGATTACCATCTCCATCTTCATAGCGCTCAGGATAGCAACAGGGTCACCCTTCTTGACATCGCTGCCATCGTGAACACGCACCTCAACCAGTACACCAGACATGGGCGAGCCAATCTGGCTGCTGTCGGTGGGATCAGCCTTCGGCCGTGAAACGTTCTCAATGGCTGCGTGCTGGTCCTCAACGGTAACGACACGGGTCTCACCGTTCATCTCGTAAAAGACCTCACGGAGACCAGTCTGCTCAGAGAGCGGGCCAATGGCCAGGAGCTTGAGAATGAGCACTTTACCCTTCTCTAGCTCAACGTGGAACTCCTCGCCAATCTCAGGACGAGCCAAGAAGTACCGAGTAGGCAGCACAGAGAGATCTCCGTACTTGGTGGTCCACTTCTTGTAGTCCTCAAAGACCTTGGGGTACATGATGTGGGATGAAACATCACACTCGGTGGCATCACCCCACTTCGCCTTGAGCTCAGACTTGATCTTGACAATGTCCACGGGCTCAAGATAGAGACCGGGGCGCTTGTCCATCTTCCTGCGGCCACGCAGAGCCTGTGTGCGAAGAGGTTCTGGGAATCCGCCGTAGGGCTGACCCATGAGACCCTCAAAGAACTCCAGGACTGACGACGGGAAGTCAAGTTGTTCAGCCTTGGCTAGAACGTCATCGTAGGAAAGCTTGTTGGACACCATAAACTGGGCCAAGTCACCGACAACCTTGGATGTAGGAGTGACCTTGACAATGTCACCAAGCAAGTCGTTGGCTTGCTCATAAGCCTTCTTGGTTTGAGCCCACTGCTCACCAAGACCCTGCTGAGCAGCCTGGAAGATGAGGTTGGTGAGTTGACCTCCGGGAATTTCGTGCTCGTAGACCTCGGGGTCAGGTCCTGTAAGACCAGCCTCAAAGGGCGAGTAGACAAGACGGAGCTGAGCCCAGTAGGCATCGAGGTTGCGGATCATGTGGGCGTCCAGACCGGCGTCGAAATCGGTGCCCTCGAGAGATGCAAGGATGGCTCCAACGCTGGGCTGGGAAGTCATACCAGACATGCTGTCGATGGCGGCATCAACGGCGTCAGCACCAGCCTCGGCGCAAGCAACCATGGATGCCACACCGGTACCGGCAGAGTCGTGAGTGTGGACGTGGATAGGAAGGTCAGGGTACTTCTTGCGGATAGTGCCAACCAAAAGGCGAGCAGCGCGAGGCTTGAGTACACCAGCCACTGTTGACGTGCGAATTAGTATGTGTTTCACAGTCGGTAAAACGATATGACTTACTGTCCTTGATGCCAAGAATGTGGGCGCCCATCTTGACAATCTTCTCAACGACGTCCAAGTAGTACTCCAAGTTGTACTTCTTCTTAGGGTTCAACACTAAAATGCAGAGTTAGCAGATTCTTATTTGCTTCGAAAATATGGTCACTCACTGTCACCACTGATGCAGACTGTCGCTTCGGCAACACCACCAGCCTTGAGAACAGCCTTGACACCAACCTCGAGCTGCTCAACATCGTTCAGCGCGTCAAAGACACGGAAGATGTCGACACCGTTCTTCTTGGCTTGCTCACAGAAGTGGTAGATGGCGTTGTCGGGCAGGGAAGAGTATGCAACACCGTTGGCACCACGGAGAAGCATCTGGAAGGGAATGTTGGGCACAAGCTTCCTCATCTTCCTCAGACGGTCCCATGGGTCCTCGTAAAGGAAACGCATGGCAACGTCAAAGGTAGCACCACCCCAGCACTCGAGAGCCCAGGCGTTGGAGAAAGCATGGCTAGTCTCCTTGGCAATGTTGAGGAGGTCAACGGTTCGGACACGAGTAGCGAGAAGCGACTGGTGGGCATCACGCCAGGTGGTGTCCATGATGAGACAGCCCTTGTTGGCACGCACAGCCTTTGCAAAGCCCTCGGGACCATCCTTCAAGATGACGTTCCTCCAACCCTCTGTGCAAGGAGCGGAGGTGTCGACCTTTTTGCCGGTGTGGTCGTGGATGGCGGGAATGGGGACAACACCCTTGAACTTGGGTTCGCCAATCTGTCCCTTGATCTGGCTGCCGTTGACAGCCAGGTCACCGAGATATGCGAGCAGCTTTTGAGCACGGTTCTGGGATCCAATAAGATCGAACAGAGCCGGGGTATCGTCGATGAAAGTGGTCCAGCACTGGCCATCCACGAAGGTAGGGTGTGTGAGAAGCTTGATCAAGAAAGGAATGTTGGTCTTGACTCCACGGATACGGAACTCGACCAGTGCACGCAGCATCTTACGGCGTACAATTTCGTAGGTCGAACCACGGCAGGAGCACTTTACCAACATGGAATCGTAATGGGCTTTAAGATGGTTAGCTCAGGCCCAGGTATCTGGGTGAAAGTGTACTTACGAGTGATGATGGCTCCTGCGAAACCGTTACCACCGTCAAGACTAGGTAAATGTTAGCATTTTGTCTACGCATTGAAGGCTTATAGCTATCAACGTACCGGACACCGTTTCCACCAGCGGAACGGTATACCTCAATTTTTCCAGTGTCAGGCGCGAAGCTCTGAGCGGGATCTTCGGTGGTGATACGGCATTGGAAGGCAAAACCGCGAGTAGAGATGTGATCTTGAGTCAGACCGAGCTGCTCAAGGGAAGCGCCTGCGGCAATCTGGATCTGTGCGGCAACAATATCGATGCCAGTGACTTCTTCGGTAATGGTGTGCTCAACCTGAATACGGGGGTTGATTCTGGAAGGGTATTAGCGATGGT